TTTTTTTACAGTGCTTGGTTTTTTGCAAAAAGGCTGCTACATTTTTTGTTTCCGAGAGAAACCTAGTTTTTAACCGATCTGGTGCAAACTGGATTCAAAATACCTCAGAGGAGGAAAACTTGAAGTTTCATATCTCAGATGCTTTCTAATTTTCCGACTTAAGCTTCTCTTGCAGCTTTATTACAGGTTTCTTTCTGCTATACTCTCTAAGTAAAGCCTTCGCCTACAACAGTTTTTTCTGTATGAATGTCTGTATCAACATTGTTTGCTGATCATTGTGCTCTAAGCAAGGTTTTTCGGATCACAGATAATACCTGCTGTCTTCGCTAAGATCAGTGGACATCCGAGATGGCATCTCGGTTAACGTAGTAAAGTAACAGGTTTCTACGTGGTTGGATGTTTGTTTTCTGTGCATGTCTGAGCTCTTGAAAACGATCCGGTTGTTTTTTTCATTTGCGCGAAGTATGAAGATATTGTTTTGTTATGAGAAATATCCTTACTGGCAGTCAGTAGTGCCTCGTAGCGGTCGTTATTGGGTGTTCATGAGCGGCCTACTTTGAGAGTGGCGGGTGATCTTGTAGATCCTGGACGCTGTTTTAGAAAACTGGATATTTGAGGTGGCTCCATGTTTCCTGAAACATCTTTAACCTTCACTTCTGCTTTGTACTCGCAAGGATGCGCGACGAAGTTACACTGTCTGATCTGGGCATCTGCTGGTATCTCAGTTATCGATAACAAAAATCGGTGCTGACCGCTACGCTCAACTGGGGACTTTGGGGAACTTGTTTTGCAACCTCGTGTTCGTTCATTTCTTTCTTGTTTCAGAAACAACAGGAAGTTGAATGTACGGGTTTATTCAGCAAAAATTTAGAAATAAAGTGCAAGTAGCCTACAAATCCGGTATTTACAATGACTACAACGTTTTCTTCAAAAAGCAGAGGGTCATAAAGGTTAGTCTGTTTCATGAGGTTAACCTTTGTTAAAAGCAAAGGAAAACTTCAGTGGTTATTTTGAAAGTTCCAGCTGTGCGAAGGAGCAGTAACAACACAACATTGTTGAATTGGGTTAAGAGATGCAAAGTTGATGGCACGAAGATAAAGCCCTACTAAGATGTAAAAGCGCGTAAAGTGATTTGAACATGAAGGATGAATTGCAGAGAAGCAAAATTCACTACAGGGTGGTAACGTAAAAATTTTTTTAGTTCTTAAAACGCTACGGCGCATAGAGAACAACTAACACTTTCAAACAGTATGACGAAAAAGCATAAAAACTAGTGAATTCAGGTGAGTTGAACTGTCTTTGTACCTTCAAAGTACGGCTTAAATCTGTCGCCGAAACCTGGGGAGCCAATCCAGCATCTGAACTGATAAAGGTTACGAAGCAAGACATGGGTATATTTCTTAGCGTCTGTAAACTCGATCCTCAACTCGTCCAGCAGAAAGTGATCCAGAAAACTGTTTGAGCGCACACCATAGTTCCATACCCTAGGGGCATTAAAAGCTGTGTTAAGCAGTAAAATGAAAATAACTAGAGATAAAACAAATATAATTGAAGTGCTAACAATTAATGGGTTTTGACGGACTATTGGAAACTCAAAAGTCTGGGGATGTGCAGTTCTTTCGTCACTGAACTACCATACAGACGAGAACACATGTAACTTTTCATCTGTATTTTAAAATTAGATTTTTTCATGCTTTCAGTAGAAATAACTTAAAAATCTGATCAGTTAGTCTCACAGGTAGTGGATAAAAAGTCTTGGGCTGTGAAATTATGGTTACAGAATTATCAGTTTTTTAATATAATCAGGCTAGCAATGGTTTTAAAGCAGTTAAAGCTCTACGTAAACTATGATCACTTTAACGGACACAGCTGAGTAATAGTTGTAGTAATCCGATGAACCTCGAAAGTACTTAACATAAAGTTGTTTGAATTAGCAAAATTTACAAACTGTTTCATATACATTCATTAACAAAAGCTAATTGAAACCCTTTCCGTTGAAGTGCAAAGTTACCGTGCTAAATGTTCAGATTGCTTCTGTGAAGTTCGAACAACAAGTCTGATTAAGTTGGGGAAGTAGATCTCATCTTTAGCAGTCCTCTTTTCAAGGTCATTCAAATGCAAACTTATTCCTTCAAAGGTGCTTATCATACATAAATACGCGTGCCAACGACAAAGATCCAAACCTGACATGCTAGCTATTATCTGAAACAGTAACCTTGCCTCAGTGAAAAACTAACAGAAATTTTTAATTGCTTCAACTCTTCAAATTTCTTTTGAACTCAGATTTCTAAACTAGAATAATCTGAAAACTGTACCATTTCAACTATAGGAGCGTCAACTATAGCTGATTCAATGTTTCCTTTGAAAGACTGTAAAATTTGAGACAAGATGTTTAAATCTTTTGATGTCCATTTATCACTGACGACGATTTCAAGACGCTTACAGTTACCTGTACTGCTCATCCATCGCATTGCTATTTGCGAATTATGATGGACGAACCAACTCGAATCATCTTTAATAACTGGTGTCTAAACGAACTCGAAGATCTCGTGGAAAAGCAGTTATGTAATTATAGTATCCTGTTTAGGCAAAAGACCCGGTAAGTGCATATGGGCGTTTCTTTAAACAGGTAAATCATTACTTGGTCAAAAGGCAGGAATTTTTCTTTATTGTCGCAAAAATCCTTTTTTTCCACTTTGAGTTCACGGACTGTTGCTAAGAGGTTATCGATACATGCCTGAAACCGTTACTTCGCGAACCCTTTGAGATGTTGTCAGAGAACAGCTTTGACAACATCTTTCAAAACTTTCCTAGCACCGGTATAGGTTGCTTTACTTAAAAATCACTCACTTAAAGGTAGACAAGCTGAAAAACTTTAGTTTTGGTCTAAACTCACATCTTGAAAACTATATCGGCAGGCAGAAGCAATTTCCTGAAATGAAATACCTTGGTGGCCTTGTTAACACGTCTCCATTTGTAGAGGTCGACTGGGTTAACATACTGCAAAACCTTATGGAACAGCGATTCTGGAAGTCCCGATGATCCTGTGGACTCGACCTTCAGTTTCTAAACATCTGTCTGTTAGCGTACTGGAACCTCAGAAGACATTAATACAATAACTGTAAACTTTATCTAAAAATCGCGGGTTGCTGTCATTCACATTTGTAGTGGACGAAATTTTACCAAAATGTTTAGAACGACTTTAACGAACTGTTTCAATTGCTGATGAAAAAGTCACCTCTCCCTTGCATCTTGAGCGACTATTTTTCAGTCGGCGAAGGCGACAAATGAATTTTATGGGCATTTTGGCAAGATACTTTAATCTCGGCTGCTTAGGATTTCTGGAATCCAGCTTTATGGGACAGCGGCGGTCCTGAAGGGCTGAATAAACCACTGTTATGAAAACTGTGTAGCTCAATTAGATGAATTTGAGAAGAGTGTAAAGTCCCCAGGGAAGAATGTCATTGAAAAAAGTAATAAAATATGAGTGGAAAGTAAAGGCATAGTTTGATGTAAATAAAAATAAATAGACGATTAAACTCTGCAAATACTGATTGGGACAGACCAGATAACAAGGTTCAACAAGGCGAAGAAAGTATCAATCTTATCGGAGAAAATATTTACTGTGCGCTGTCCACCCAAAACTTTGTCACTCATCTTTAGCGTTCAACGTTAATTATTTATGGTTTTTGATCTAACTTTACTTTTTCTACTGAGCGGTCTTTCGGCTTCGGACTTCGAAACTAATGCACCAAAAAAATCCTGACAACATATAATTATAATTCAAACAGTCTGCATTAACTGAATACTTAGTTGTTATTTGAGGTAAGTAATCTAAAAATGCCACTGAGAAGTCAGCGTGGAAAATTCTGATTTAGAAAAAAGTCGGAAAAAAAACAGTCGGAACTCTTTGAACTACGCCTTTATCAAACATCAGCTTCTTTTCTCGAGATGATAGTCATTATGGAAGGTAAGCTACAATTATTTCGAGTAGCTGTCGTGGTTGAAAATAATTCGATCTGTGGTTCTTCTTCTTTAAAATTCAGTTAGCGCGGTAAATTGTAGGATGATTGGAAAACAACGAGTGAAACGGCTGGATGAATTAGAGCAAACGCAAGTGTCGTGTAAATTCTTTCGAATTGTTTGAAAGCTGGAAGTTTATAAAATCTAAGTTTTGAATAGAGAAAAATAAAATGTATCAAGAAAGAATCCTCACTGGTACTTTATCCTCTAGTTCACTTTTCGACTTAAATTTTGTACCCAACACTTCTATGCAGATCTTGCCTTCTTACTGGTCCTCACTCAAAACCCAAACTTTTTCACAAGAACTTCTTCAGATAATCGGTAAAGATTTGTTCAAAATGACTCCTCAAGAAATTGTAAAAATTTGAAGAAGTCTTTTCCATCCGAACCATTTAATTAAATAGGATTAACTGCCGTTCACTTCCTACGCTTCGCTGAAAATGCCACACACGTCCCCTAGCCTGGATTAAGCAACATTTCATGTTGGCTTGACTCATCTGATAAGATATCTTCTTTCAGCCACGAGTTTTTGCTGAACGAAGGTAAGCGAATTTCATTTTACTTGGTAAAAATAAACTCTGCCGACATGTCTAATTCCTAACCGGTAGGTAATGAAACGTTTTCCCCGCTATCTAGTGATATCATATTGCTCAAATCTGATTTAGAAGTCATCTTTAAGAATAGAGAATAATAAATGAACAATGGGAGTAAAAAAGCAATAGCAAAAATCAGAAAACAAGCTCTTGAGAAACCCAGTAAAGTAAACCAAAATATTTGAAACCTGGACTAGGTATGATATGAATTTATATGGTTTGAGGTGTCAATAGGTCAAAATGTTTTGTCGAAGGTGATGAAAGAAACAGTTCCGTCCATAGTGTCAGTTAAATTTTCGGGATATCTCATTGTTTGTTTTAACAAAAGAAGTGCTACCGATCCTTTTTGTCCTTTTTTCTCGTGTCGTCTGTGCCAAAATTTTTTCCTATTACTTAAGTGTTTCCTCACTTAATTTCAACAGTATTACAACTTCCTTCCCAATGCTTCCTTTTTGCTGTTTTTTAAAAGCAAATTTAGAGGGTATAAAAGTGAGTGATGTCAGATAATTAAGATAGAGAAATTTCTCTTTCCTACGATTTTTAGCAGCTTTTATACACTTTGAGTATTATTTTGGGTCTCACATTTCCACGAAGTTTAGCTTAGGAAGACCATCAGAAGGACCAATTACTGAATGAACTCAAAAGTGTCATTTGAGGCGCCATAATAATTTATCCGTTTTGTAGGTATTGATATTGTTCAAATGTTTTTGCGCGGTATTATTTAATGAAGTTTATCTTTTATCTTATCAAAAGCAAATTTTGTGGCAAATCGAAGAATGAGCCGTTTCACACATTTAAAACAGTCACTACACTACGAATTCGTTGTTATTTTACCTGTAAGGACAAAACACATAAACATTATTGATATTTGTAGGCTTTTATTCAATGAAAGAAGTTTGGAGCTGATGTCCAATTATTCGATACTAACATCAGCAAACAAAAAAAGTGTCACGTGAGTAAAAAACTGCAGCATTTTGATCGTTATCAGGGATAATAGGGAAGGTGAATAAGTGGACATCAATTACAGCTCCGTTTTTTTACCTACAAACTTTTCAGCGAGCTTTGGATCTGTTGGAATTAGTTTACAGACAGTGTCTGCAATGTTTACGGGCAGACCGTCTTGACATATCTCTCTCAAACAGTTCAGAATATTCGGAGATTCGTTCACTTTACACCATTCCAATTCCTAAAGACGAAGAGAAGTGTAAATAGAGTGCTAGTTGAAAATTATTTCAAATAAAAACGGTCAACAGTTTTTTAAAAGATTTTTACTACAGATAGTTTGTTTTATTTACTTGGTCTTAAGAGGGTTTTAAAAGTTTGGTGAAAGTAATTATTCATACCACGGCGCAAAGATACTCCGGTTTTAAAATATTTTTGCCCGCATCGACAATAAAGTTGTATAGATCTTTGGTAAAGTCCATGCACTAAACAAAGGTTGCTGACTTTTTCCCTTTAATGTTTACGTAGAATTCACCATCCTTTGAGCGTAAATTTAATACGGAACTTCAAGTGTAGGTAGCTTTTTTTCATTATTAGTAGCTTTTACTTCAAGCTTTCTAAGTCTAGTAGAGGAAAAACATGTGCATATTTTCATAACTGCTGTTATTAATATAAGCAAAACAGTGAAGAAATGGACCGGAAGAGATTTTAAAATTATCGTAAAATCTCATTTTTTGGTTTCTTATTAATAATCGCTACACTAAGTTTTATAGCAGTAAGAAACACAGCTTGGTGAGGAAGTGGTGGAAGCCCACCATCTGTACGGATAGGTGCACAGTGTTTGTATCACCTTTGAATTATCTTGCGAATGCTGAAGTAAACATTTTTAATAAGGTAGCAATTTATTTGATTAATTCAAATCCGATTTCTTTCGACCAGTATAAAGTTTTGAAGCCCAGAAAAAATTATATACCTTATTGTAGTCTGAACCGTTCGGGAAAAATCCGCAGGGCGGCTCAGAAGCAGTTGGGTCTGGTAAGCATTCTAGACATAGCTCGGCACAAATATTATGGAATAAATTTCCCAAAAGCCAATTCAGTGTGTCTTCTAACGCTGTTGGTGACAGGAGAAATCGATGCTAAATCCTTCAGAAATTACGAAGTAGATTTGTTTGTCATAGGGTGAGAAGCACAATTTAATTTTTTTATATAGGTTAAAAAATTTATTGTTATGATCAAGGCTCACCTGCAGCATTGACAACGCTGTTGTGCATAGCGGACATTGCAAGCATGCGGATGTTCCATTCAAGATTGACACTAAATGTTAAAATTATTTTCGAGTTTAAAAAACTTCTTATACGTAAATAACAACTGCTCATCTCTAGTCTATGATAATCTGTGATAAATAAGCATTAAAAAAAAGGCTGGTCACTTTCAATCAAAAAAACACATTCTAAAATTGGTACCAAATCAGATATGTAAAGGTCACATTTCTCGCTCACAATGCTCGATTCTTCAATTTTAGACAATAGTTTATGATTCTAGTAGCATAGAAACTTTCAGTGTAAGCAAAAGTGCCAGAAAAGTAGAAATTGTTTACCGATACCTTTGGTTTTGTAATCATGATAACATGACGGGATCAGCATGCTGCATATAGCCTGAGCGTTTGGCACATGTGCGAAAACTCTTCTCATCATATGCCTTTCTTCCTCCTTAAAGTTTTCTCTGCTATTCACCAAAAAATAACTTTGAAATTAGTGATAGAAAGAGCGGAAAATACAATGATAAATAATTTTAATCACAAATCACCTACTGTGTAAATGAAAGGATTTGGTGTGAAAATTTTTTCTTCAATTTTGCTTAATACACTGTGGCAGAGGAAGCAAAGCGGTGTCGCATAATTGGTTAAAAACGACGCAGTAAACCCCCAGAATTGGTGCTTCGTTATAGTATTAAGTGCTCTAAATGGTGGTCCGTTACAAGTCTCATCTTCTTGCTCTAAGTGCTTCTGCAACAGTTCAGTTAGCTGACTAAGTGAAGATTGTTGACGCTAATTCTGGTGAAATAGATGTCGTGCAATTATAAAATTTATCGCAAGATTATTTTCTTTGTAACGAAAAACAATTGTACCGTCTATTTACTAACATAAATCTTGCTTATCCACAAAACGTAAGGATCACGATGCGGTACGGCATGAAACATTGCGGGAATGCGAACTATTTTGCTGCCATCTGCTGCGTTAGGTCCAAGTTCGGTTTTTGCTACTATGACATCTGATTTATCGGCCAAGTCACGGCTGCCTTTTTTCTGCTGAGGTTCTGTTGGCGGAGAGATTCTAAACATAAAAAACTATAGCGTGAATTTTTTCCTTTAAAGCGTACTGCATTTCTGCCTCCTCTTTATCCGCCATCATGCTTAAAATTTTAAAAATGCGTTATAAAGGTTTCGCACAATAAACCCATTTTTTAATTCATGAGTAGCATAAGTTCTTCGAGATTTTCATTACGGTAGACTAATAATAAATCAGTTTTTGATTTTTCTGTGATGAATACGGAAAACTAACGTTGTAAACATAGTGGCGTTTGGTTGAGGGCATGCAGATGTATTTGTGGCCAAAAATCGTTGCGGTTTAAATACTGGTGATGGTTTTTGTGCTTTCAAATTACGCATTTTTTCATTCTGGCGAAGAAGCTTTTGCTCAACCAGGTCTACCGCCATAAAACGCAACAACTGCCTTCCGGACCTTAAAT